GCTATTATGACTAAAAATACAAATACTTATTAAGAAGTTACTTAGCTTAAATGATTTAGGACCTATGAATTATTTTTCCAAATCTTGAGGATAGTGACAAAATACAGTAAACCACAGCTCTTTGACACTTCCCAATTGCTAAATATTGCAGTTCAGAAAATTTGTAGTCAAGATTGATAAAGAGGTCTGTCTCAGTGCTACATGACAAAGTGTGCCTCTAGAATAGTTGTAATCTAATTACTACATTGAGAGGTACAACGCTTCCTTCAAGCATCACTTTTAAATAAAATAGCACTGTTTGAGAGGTGGACGTGAATTCTCTTTTCAAGATCTTTCTGTATGCTACTTTATATTCTGAACCTTTAACTCGTTTATGGATTCATACAGCAAACCTTAAATATATTTCTCATTCAAATACAATTTTTCTCCTGCATAATCTAAAGCAATCCTTGAAATACTGGACTTTACCTGGCATCTTTCTTAGAGTTAAAAGTAGCATAAGTGGTAGTACTACTACTCTGCACTTACAAAGAGGTTAGATAACTTGTCCAGGGTCACAAAGTCAGTGGCAGTCTGTTCAGGCATTACACGTGCAGGTGGTAAAGTGCAATTCTGATCCCTGAACACCTGCAAGATGAACAAAACACTTTTTTTTTTTTAACTGTCACTCCTGCTAAAAGCAAAAAGAATGCAAAATTTGCTTAAATGGTCACTTTTAGATATAAGACTAAGTGGCATCATGATAGGAGGCTGGGGAAAAGGGACTGCAAGTCTGTGTGGAAGGCAGAGAAAGACAGCGAGGAACGGCCCACCTCAGGGTACACTCAGCCATCATTTACACCTGCCCACCTCTCAGTATACGAGCCTGCCACTACAACATTAAAACTTACCATCAGTAGGGTGAATCCCATGCAGAGAGAGCCAGTGTGCCATAGTCTGGCAGGCTGTGCTGCCATCTCTGTATTCCATTTCATAGCAAGGCACTATCAACAGACAGTTCACGCTAAGCGATCTGTTGAGATTATGCAGATTGTTTTGGAGAGGCCATTGAATTCAAGAGGGTTCCTCCTCTAATTAGGCAGCTATGAGATCAGTCCCAGCTGTTTTTCTATCTACCTCCTTGGAAGACCGTGTATTAGACAAGACAGGCATTTCAAATAACTTGCACTCCAAATGACTCTTTCAAATATCACATTTTTCCAAATTACCATTCTTGATGCCTGAAGAAAAATAAGTATAAAATAAGTTTACAGGAGAGGATCAATGATATCTCTCTGAATTAGGTAAACCCTAAACAAGAGTTTATCTAGAAAGAGGAGAAGTGGAGGACAACTGCTTTTTGGCTTGAGATAGTTGAACAGGTGTAAACAATGGCTGGGCAGAGAGATCTCTCACTATGTTGCTTTTGTCTTATCAGACTTCCCTTCTATATCCCAGAAAAATAATTTTTGCTTTGCACTGCTATAGACTGAACAGATTATCGACCCTAAGCAGGAACCTTTATTAGCATTCGCATTCTCACCAGAGTCTGTCACTGTAAATTCTCAGCGAATTTGCCCTCATTGCAGTTAAGAATCTAGTTAAGTAATGCCAGTTGCTGAAGCCATAACTCTTGGCATCAGAACAGCTTGTATGAAATGCCAGTTTCATGAAAAGTTCTCTCATTTGAAGGCCTTCTTTCCTATGCATGAATCATGCTCACCAAACTGAAAATTAAGGACTCGCTCAATACTGAAAATAATAATCAAAAGAATGAAGGGGAGAAGAAAGAACATACAAAAATTAGTTCATTATTATCATTTTAAAATACCAGTGTTTGTAAAACGTAAGCATGTGAAAGGCTGAATCTCATTTATCAACCCAATTAAACATTAAATAATTGCAGCCAATTATGCAAATATCACACAACAATATTAATTTGTTGATCTTTTTTGAACAGTCTCAAATTCTCCTAATGTTAGACTATCTTATGTCTTAAATGATCAATTAGCAGAATCATAACTAAGTGATGAAGAATGGATAATTGCCTAGTTATGATGTACCATACTCTTTCTATGTAAATCTGTTGCAATTAAACAAATAGGGCACATGGAGAAAAGATGTGCAGATGTTCTTTTACAATCTATTACTAGCTCAGGGAATACCACAGTTCCCTCCTAAATTTTACAGGCGAAAATAGGGAGAATGCAATACCAAATACTCACTATTATTTACACATATTATTTCTTTCCTTTGGTTAACAGGATAAAAAAGCAGTGGCAGAATGCAGGGTAGGACAGTATGCAACATCAGAAGAATTTCCTGTATTATACTGACCCATCAGCTCCCTTATTTAGGTTTTAAAGTTTAAAATCTAGAACCTATTCACCTGGATCCCATTTGGAAACAAGCACAACTCTGAGTTAACATAGCCAGAGTAAAGCAATTAACCAAGATGTTAAAGACAACAGTTAACATACACACACTACGTTTTCATTCTTCTCTGCTAGAAAAGTCTACGCGTTTCTGTGGGTCATTCCCGTTTCAACTCTCATCATTTTGAAGTCTCCATCAGCTCAAAATGTGCAGTAAAAGGAAAGGGGTCTCTCCGGTCAGCGCAGGAAACAGTGCCAACCACAATAAATGAAACCGCCTGGTTTCCTCACTTTAAATTACTTGCATCCAATTTAAGAAGAGTTTCACAAAACTTTTAGGTTTACATTGCAGTAAAATAATTCTTCTAACTGGTCCTTATTAATTCTGACTAGTGAATAGATTACTGCTGGTATACTGATGCCTTCATGGGGATTTTTGATATACGATACCTGTCAACTCTGTCAACATCCTGAGATGTTAAGGTATCATACAACCACTTTTCCATGCATCTGAAGTTAGATATCTCCACTTTTCATTTTGCTGCTAAATCTAAGATGAACATAAAGGGACAGGTTAGACAGTTCAGTAACAGGAAGCCACATGCGGTTGCTCATTACGTAGTCTTTAGAGCTCCGTGCCACACTCCTAGTTAAAGGCACTCTTTAGTTATGATACTTGTCTCATTGGATAAAACCCTCTACCCCACATTGCATCTTGACATATTCCCCATGTTAATTTTTCCACCCATCTAATTAAATAAAGGCTACCACCAGCTTATAATACATAGTAAGATACTGAACTAAGACCAGCACACGATACAGATTCAAATGGTCAGAAAAGCAGACACAGAATACTATTGCTACTGCAAGTGAAACAACATTTTGTGCTTGCAGTTGTATTCTAAAGAGAAAACTATCCAACAAATTTTAACAATGGTTACATTGTCAGAGAGAACCTTCAACTGTTCTTCATTAAAAGATCAGACTGGACTGCAGTGGAAGATAATAAAAGTCATGATTTGAGGGAGGAAAAGATAGCGATGGCTAAGTAGGGGTTGTCTTTAAAATCTGACCAAAAATGAACTGGAAAGCCATAAGGCTACTTTTTAGCAGTTGTGTAAGGCATGGATGGTCTATCAGAAATCATATTTTGCCTTTTTAAACTATGTTAACAAATGCCAGTAACTACAAAGGACTTATAAAGCATGGGACAGATACTGTTGGGTCTTAAAAAAAAATAAAGTGCTAAACATTTCCCTTAATACTGGTGCATCTCTACTGCAAACTATGGCAATAAATGTTTCACTTTTACTTCTTATAGGACTCCATTAATGTCAATAAAGTTCCACCAGTTTTACACTGAAGTAGCACTTTGGAACATTGATACAGAACGTGGTGATCCTTTTTGGCAAGAGATATCTTAAAGCTGTTTGACAAAGCTGTGTGCAAAAAGAGAAAGCTAACAAATATTACACTATGATTGTTAGTGAACATTTGCAGAAGTTATTTCCCAAACTATGGGCTACATGCTCTATATTGCTTCCAAATAGTATCAAGACTGCATGTGAGAGCACAGCAGTATACGAAGAAGTATGTGCTTAATCAGAATGAAACAAGGCTTTGAATGAAATCTCTTTCCTTGTGCTAGATATTTCCTGTTGACAACAAAGCTTGTTCCTTAATAGGAAAGCCCTATTAAAGTACACGTGTGTCAATGGAGGCTGGATACATTTCACAGCGAGTGGTGAAAGGGACAAGAAAAACATTTTGATGTCTGATCTAAATTATGTGACTGGATGATGAAAGAAATTCCTCAATCCAAAGGTTTGGTTGCTGTGAAGAGTGGTTCAACTTTCACAGCCACAGTTGTCTAATCTTACGTTCTAGACATTTACCTGGAAGGCAACACTGTGTCCGCAGCACCCAGCTCTGTGCTAGGCCAGACAAAGGGTACTTCTTGCCTCAGCAGGGCTTGACCCAGCCCAGTAAATCATGTATGGAAGGATGTATTCAACTATTAGAGAGGTATGCACTGCCCAAGTAGCCACTGCATATCCCCATGGAGGGAAAGGCAATAGGCCAAGAGGGAGCATATTGCAGGCTAGATCGACTCAGAGAATTTTGGCCTAAAGGACAGAGCTGTTATTTGACAGAGAATGCATGAGGAGATCTAGAGGGCTATGCAAACTCAAGAATCTCCCACACAAGCAGAGTATGAAAGGAAAGAGCGTATGGCTAAACTTAATTGTTTCCCAAACACAGAGCAAAAGGCAGAATAACGTCAATAGACCCCGTGGCCGGCTAACAGGCAATGTCTTTGTGTTATATGACAACGTGCTCTGCTGGTGATGGTAGTTAAAACAAACCAATTTGAAGAGCAGTTGAAGAGCATTTTACAAGTTTTCAGACTGAACATAAGACAAAAGGAGGCACTAAGAAAACCATTAGGAAAGTTCTATTGCTAACATTTAGCACCTCTACCAAGAAGACAGGCTTCTACCAGCAGGATTACAGTAGAAATCAAAATGATTGTATTCACATTCACCAGATTGTGGAAACAATCATCCTGGGGAGCAAATTGATACAGAAACTATGCTACACGCAGGCAGCTACAGAAGTTGTCGTTATTCATGTCTGTTCTGTCCGGAGGTTCTGAACTCTTCCACCTTCACGACACCAGCACTGCCCAATTGCTGTCTTCTCTTCCATACTGAAATGAAGCAAAAATGGAGTTGAAGAATAAAAGTTAAAAGTAACAGTGTAAAATTATGGTAACTTCTTAGGTCTATCCTCAAAAAGATTCATATCCACCACCCTGATAGTAGTTTACATTATTTCTTCTGCCTTTACTTCTGTCTTTGATTTAAGCAAAGCCTAAAGGCGGCGTGAAGCTTTATCCATCTTCCAATAAGTAGACTAGGAAGGGGTGCTACTGATACTCACTAAAGGTGATACATAATAGTCCTGCTTCACTAGAGCTTCGCATCAATTTAATACAGTTATTCCCCGAGGTCAGTTCACTAATTCATTCATAAGTATGCCCCTGCTCGAGCTCCAATAAACAAACACATTTGTTTTTATTTCTTTTTATTTTCAAGGTGGCTTTTTATTACAGCATTCTGATTGAATGTGAGATAAAACCCATCACAAATACCACAGAGTACAATTAGAGAGAATTGTAACCCGAATAAACCAAATCGTCTTTCCATACGCAAACCAACAGGATCACCAGGCGGAAACGAAGGCAATCTACCACATGGAACTGTATCCCTTCCAGGGGGAGGATACAGTCGCAAGGCAGCACTTTTGGTTGTTAAAATGGCTCCATGTTCTAAAGCTCTTTGTCACCAGTCCTGTAAACAATGCTCCAGAGAGCCCCAAAAACACACATAGGGCTCAAGTATGCAAGTAAAGCAGAGGTGGACAGACTAGCGGCAGATGTAAGTTGGGAGCCCTTTCCCTCATAGTATCATGTTCAGGGACCTTGAAAACGCTTTTCACCAAGGAATAAAGACTGGTTTTAGAGGCTTTATGTAGGCTGAAAAGATCACTTGATGATAATTTCTCCAGAGAGGATAAAAGGAAGT